TAATTTGCACAAAGGCCTATAATAATAATCATCATTTAGTGCATAAAAATCTCGGTGTGCCGTGTGGTTTATATGCATAGATTGTATTTCATTTTACTATTTACGATAAGTTATCGCACTTCTTATTAAATCAGCGTGGGACGATAGTGTTTAGTGTAAACAAAAGAGAAAGAGCAAAAGAGAGGAAGACGGAAAGAGAGAGAGAGAGAGGCAGCTATAAATTATCCATAGCAATCTCAACGACTTCTATACAACACTTTTCCATTTCGTCTCTGAATACTGCATTCTCTCGCATATGTTTCATTATAGCAGCGCTGCGATCTATGTATTTGAATTCGTTCGTCACGAATGCGGGAGGCACCTTGATAATTGTGGACGCCACAGCACTGTAGACCGTAGCAAAGAGACGAAACTTTTCGTAGGACTGCAGCAGTTCCTCTTTGGATATTATTTCGTCTGATTGCAAGCCAAACTGCTGCAAGCTCTGCTGCAGCCAATTGTAATAGAAATCAAGGCTTTTCGATTCGAGGCGCTGTCGCTCGGTGCTTGTTAGATTTAAGTACAGACAGAAGCACAAATCGACAGCTGGTGGACTGTAGCGACAGGTCTGATAGTCAACTAGTATAGCTGCATCCTGTGGATCAGCTGGAAAGAAAACATTGCCCGCCCATAGATCACGATGGCAGAGCACATTCCGATATTTCGTCGAGGGTGAAACCTGTTCATAAACTCGCTCCACCATCTTGGCCAACTGTTGATCGATCCAACTGTTCGCCTGATACTGTGGCAGACTCTTAATCACAGCGAGCACCGCGGAGATCCCAGTGGTAAACCAGGCTATATTGGATGCGACTGTAATCTCCTGCAATCGTTCGCTACACTCGCGTCCAATATTAAAGTTCTGGCGCTGCTCGTAAACCAAACTGGACGCATGAAATGCAGCCATGCTGCGTAGCAATTGTTGCAGCTGCGTCTCGCTCAGCAGCTTCTCTGCAGCAGCTCGATAGCCAGCTAGCTTGATGTTCTCCAGCACAATGAGATCTGGTCGAGTGTAAAGACATTTGGCGCTCCATTTGACATTGGCTGTAAAGAGTCGCAAATTAGTTTCTATTCTAGATGTTGATTATTTGATGATGCACAATATTCTTGCATGTATGTGAGCAGGTTATCATATAGCCACGCCTCTTTGCGAAAAATTGCCTCTTTTTCCATCTCATCGCTGAGCTGTGGCAGCGCTTTAACAAAAAGTTGGCGAGTTTGAACATTTTTTGGGTCAGCCTGAAAGTAGGCAATGATTTTATTAGGATTAAAAATATATAAAATATATTCTTTGTTCGCTAAAAAATAAATGGTTCTATAGAATTTTTTAATAATTTTAATTTACAAAAAATAAATATGAGTACAGTATGAGTACAAATTTAAAAAAAAAAAAAAACTAATTTCGACTTATACTAAGAGTAATAGTCATATATAATCTTATGCTAAACACGCCAAGTTCAATGAAAAGTCACTGTGACAATAATCACAACAATTGTTTCAATCGATCAACTCACTCACAGTGCAATAGCTCAGTGTCAGCGTATAATAATCTCCCAGATAGCCCACAGCTGTTGTATCCCTTTCCAGTCGATAGTCCAATAGTTGCCACAGCTCTTCTGTTGCATTCAACATGTTCTTTAAGATCTGCTCGCATTCGGCGCGCGTTAAGAGCATATTGCGTATACGTTGCATTACGTATACGCCCGCTCTTTGCCTCTTTGAGTTCGAATAATGTGTGTGTATGTTTTTTTTTTTTTTTTTTTAGCAACAGTTTTTTCTTCGGCCGTGTGCAAGCGCTGCGCAACGCTTTTCAACTGAGCAGCAATGAAAATTTATTTTCAACGTTGCTCGGAGAATAGAATAGTTCGATTCGTTTTCGTTGTTTTTCGTGCCTTCAAATATACATACACATATGTAAATATTTAAAAGTATATACATACATGTAGGTGTATGCACCTATGGATACGCCTATTCGAGCACTTGTCAAGTGCACAGCTGATAAGGCACGCTTTATTATTGTTACATGTTTATTATAAAATAAAAGTTTGCTCTTTAAGATATTGTAACATTGCTCTTATCTCTTAGACATCAATGAAGTGACCCACTTATATGAGTGTGATATAATTATAAAAATAGAATATACATAAGTTAATATCTAGAAACATATATATTTAATTTATTTTTTATTTTTTAGTTAAGGTGATTATAATAGTGAAATTGATTTATTTTTTAATGAATAAATTATAAGTATATAATTCAGTTAATAATAATATATTTATTATTGTTGTTACATTGCAATAAATACAGCACAGTACTTAATTAGCAATTATTTTGAAATTTTTTGCTGTTCTAATTATTAATATTATTTTATTAAAAACATTTTTTATATAATTTATTAAAATATAACAATTAAAATTCAATATGTTTTCTTTTTGTTATAACTGCGATGTATTTTATTTTATTACTATCAATTATTTAATATTTGTGATTTTGTTTTTTTTTTTTTAATATAATTATTTATTTTTTTATTATCATTAAATTATAAAGATACAAATTATTTATAATAATAATAATAATATAAATAATAAAATATATATATCATAATATATATTAAAACAAAAAAAAAAAGTTCTTTAACAATTAAAAGAATTGAATTATTTAACGAGAATTCATAACGCTTTGAGAAGCAATGAGTTTCACTGTTCCGCTCTCTGTTGGCTAAGTCTCAATTGGCGTCGCCTTTCATTCGAGTAGCTCATGTAGGGTCGTATGGTCATATAGTATATGATTTCCACAAAGCTTAGCAAGCTGGCGCCCACAAACAGACCCGTTGTGCCACCAATAGACACTGCAATGCACACATACATTCATATAGCAACGGTTCATACGACTTCCATTAGCTGTTCCACTTACCCACCAGATCCAATTTGCCTCTCACCAAATTGCGCTTGTAGCGCTCTGTGGGCAGCTCAATGAGCGCCACCTCGATTTTGGACACGGGATTCTGATGGCCATAGATATTATCCTTGCTGTCAAACACGGTGGTAATGTCCACCTCGGTGCAGGAGGGCAGACAATCGCAGACGAGGCCTTTGCGTCCGCGACGTCGCGACCATTTGGCAATGATGACCGACAGATCCTCATAGTTGCGATTCAAGCACTCCAGTCCATCCATATTACAGAGCTGATGATCCGGCGAATTGGGCGTCAGGTGGCTGGAGCAATTGCACAACTCCATCTGCCGATCCTTGCGGCACTGCACGGTGCAGGCACTGTAGCTATAATAGCGATGCACATCCAGAATATTCTCATCCGGAAAGCGACAATTGCGCTGATGCACACTCGTCTGACGAATCTCCTCATCGTTCTCAATGTCGCGCTTGGACACATAGCGACTGATTGAAAGACATTTGAGTGAATTGAAAGAGAGACAGGGAAAGATGTTGGACTTACACAAAAGATATGTAGGGGCCCACGACGAAAAAATCTGTTTTTGGTGTCACCAATGTGGGCACCTCTTCGGTTCCCAATATGAATACCTGTGGGTAAATATATGAAATAGATAAATAAATAAAATAAATAAATACTGGTTCAAAAAGAATTCTTAAATTAATCAATTAACTAATCAATAAAAAAAAAACCCATTGACAGCTTATAAACTTACCGTTGCCTCCGTATGCAATTCCATTTTCAATGAGCCCGGACCCGTAAAGCGATTGGAGAACATATTTAGCTTGGGGCCTTTATACTTTGTACTGCTATAGAAGAGAGAAAATATATATGGCCACGTTTCATTATAATTTCTGGAGAGAATCACAGCGTACCCCGCCTGCATTGAGTTGATGGCATAGCAAATGCCCAGCTCCGTTTCCATGCGCTGAAAGTAGTTGCAGCACTCGAAGGGCTTGTCGTTCCACTCACAGTTGTGTATGGAGTCCACACAGCTGCTGCGCACCAACTGAGCATAGTAGGAGAAGTTGGAATAGAAGCACGCCGCTGTGGACTCCTCGCCGCTGCACTCGTGCACCGTGTGATACGATTCGCCGCGAAAGAAGGCAATCTCGCTGAGCACCTCCTCCAAGGTGAAGTCATGATCGGCGCCCCACAGCCTAGAGAGCGGAGTGGACTTTGACAGCTAAACTTAGACAAATATACACAAGTCACTTACTGCTCGGCTACGTCCTGTATGCGATCCATGTTCTTTGATTCGCACACAATTATGGCTGGGAAATTGGTATTCCAATCGCGATAGGAGCTCTCCACCACAAAGCTAATGGCGTTGTTCTCAAAGGCAGCTGACATGGAAAGTGACGTAAAGCTAAGTTGCTATACTAACTATATCTAATCGTATCCAAGCTCACCCAGCGATGCCTTGATGAGTCGCCAGGAGGCATACCACGAGAGCATCAGGCAAGCGCCCCAAAAGATGCGCTCCAGCCAGCTGGCATCTTTGTCCACTATGAAACGGGCGCCATGCAGCGTCGAATTCTTCAAATATTCCTCAACGCTCTGTCGCAAACGCATTGCGTGGCCGTTGACCGGAGCTCTGTTTGACTACTGACTGCTATTTGCCCATGGTGAAATCAATATGAATATATGTTTCGTAATTACATTCATTTCATCTCGATAAAGTTCGGCTGCAGCTGTTGAAGTTCACAGCATTTCCAGGCACGCACTTCACAGACCTCCCCCAATTAGACAATATTTGCTTTGAGATTAACTTATTTATATAGCTTTCTGGTCTTTAACTTTATCATCTTTCGTCTTAGTCTCTGTGTACATTGAGTCAACAGTGGCCAACACTTATCAAACATCCATGTGATAAGCACGCGTCGGTGGGGCTGGACAGGCGCCTCCATAACCCATTTGATAATGCTTAGCCAGACGCTTCTAGCTCAACTGCTTAAATATCAAATTTATACGTTCAGTTGACATCAGCTGATGAAAAAATTTTATTTATATTTGCAGTTTTGCAAAGTCTGAATTACATTTTATTTTATTACATTCATTTGTTAGATTGTATCAAATTCAATTTGAATTTATTGTATATATTTTTGTAACCATTTTCTTTAATATTTTTATTCAATTCAATTCATTTCATTATAAATTATTTTAATTTAAATTAAGGGTAGCAATTTTTTTTAAATAAACTTAATGAAATAAATTAAATAAACTTTATTATTAAATAAACTTTATTAATAAACTTCGATTCGTTTTATATTTAATAAAAAATGTGCATTATATTTTAAATAATATTACAAATTTGCATTAGATTTTTTTCATTGAATGACAATTTTTTTAATGTTTTTTAAATTTTTTTAATTAAAAATGTTATTAGCTAATAGCTATGCCTTCATATGTTCGTAGGGCATCTAAATTTCTGTGTGGGAAAAGTGCATTTTCGCAGTTGTAAAATTTAAGCGTTGCTGAAACTTCACCGTTAATCTTTATTTGAATAAAAAAAAAATAAATAAAAATTTTAGCATTTAGTGCGTCAATAGATAAAATTACTTTTTAAAATGAGTGGAACAGCAGCCATTGTCGCGTGCACTCTGAAAGAAGCTTAGTTAATTATATTTTAGTATGAAAGAGAGGAGTTGTGTATATATAAAATATTTTGCATCAAAAGCTATCTATATTAATTATTAATACCCATCTTTAGTTTTTTTTATTAGTAATAGCAAACAGGATTATGAACGACTAGTGGATAACAAGATCAACTGATTAACCAAAAATTTCCTACTCAAATTACATTCACTAAAAAGAATCAATAATCAAATAAATATATATTCAATAAATACTAAGAATATTATATGCATAGGTAATGCAATATTGAGAATATATATTTTGGCGAAATAAATCTTTAAAGAGTGTTCAAACTTCGTTCGTTTGCCAAAAGCTGCAAAGATTTAGAAGCGTTGCTAGGGTTAGGCTACGAGATGGCAACATCCGAATGTAATCTGTTCTATCGCTGATGCGCTGCTGCTTATCAGAAATGTGTTTTATAGCGGCTTATGGCGGCAGGTATCCACCTGTGTATTTCATTAGGATTTGACGGTATAAAGTAAAAGGCGCACCCGAAGAGGTGGCAACAGTTGGAATCAAGATGGCAACGGCACTAGAGCTCAGCAGCACCGACATACAGGGCCTGTGCCAGAGCTATCTGCATCAGCATGAAATGAGCGACAGATTCGAGATTGTCAGCTACAAGCTGCAGCCCACATCTGATGCTCCGGCTGGATTTCTGGGCAGCCACTTCTACCTGGAGGTGGTGCTGCGTCTGTCGGAAACTGTGGAGCAGAAGCTGCGATTCTTTTGCAAGGTGGCGCCGGAGGGCAATGCCACGCGCATGGAGTACCTCGAGGCATTCGGAGTATTCCAGAAGGAGATTGTCGTCTATAAGAAAGTGTTGCCCGAGATACAGGCCGCCTGCACGGAGATAGCACCCAAGTGCTACTATGCGGACAAGAACCTTCTGGTCTTTGAGAATCTGATCGATCAGGGCTATCGCATGGGCGCCGGCCGTGATGGCCTGTTTAGCTATGAGCAGCTGCACTGCTGTCTCAAGACCCTGGCCGCCATGCACGCTGGCTCCATCATAAGGGACCAGAAGCATGGCCCCCGGCAGCCATTGACGGAGAACGCGTATCCATCGAATTTGCCGCCAGAGCATCTGCGCATTGTCAACTTTCATCAGTCGTGCGAGGTGCTCAAAGAGTTCATCAAGACAATGCCCAAGTATCAGAGCCAGCTTGACTTCATTTTGGCCAACTTTACCCAGCGCATGTCGCGCATCTTTGAGCTGGTGAAGCCGTCCAAGACGCGCCTCAACACGCTGCTGCACGGCGATCTCTGGGCGAACAACATACTCTTCCAGTATGGCAAATATGGCGAAACGCCGCTCCAATGCCGTCTGGTGGACTTCCAGCTGGCCAGGTATGCGCCGCCCGCCATGGATCTACTGACGGTCCTCACCATCCCGACGACGAGCCAGTTTCGTGCTGCCTACCTCAACGAGCTGCTAGCCGAGTATTATCGCTTTATGAGCGAGTTTTTGAAGCGCGCCGGCCTAGACATCGCCGACTTCATGACTGTGGCCGAGTTCGAGGAGTCTGTGGAAGAGTATCGCATCATCGGTCTCATCGAGAGCTGTCTCTTCTGCCATTTGGTTATACTGCCACCAGCCAGCACCCAGGAGCTGACGGGCTCCGCTGATGGCTTTAGCGATTTCTTTGATCGCAAACGCATCGATATCTGCATGAAGGCCTTCAACTCCGATCAACTGTACAGAGATCGCCTAGTGGACATGTTGGAGGACTTTGTCGATCATTATGTTCTACAATCTTAATAAATTAGTTTAAGTTGTTAATATGTTGCTTAATATATATACTTGAATTAATATAATAAATGCTAAACTCACATAACTATTCTTTGCTCTACTATCGATATGCACTCTATTTACTGAGTGGCCATATTTACATAGAGTATTCACATTTAAAACTTTGCACATTTTCATTTTTGCCTAGCTTTCGATATTTCGTTGAGTTTTCGTTGAGGCATCGTCAAGTTGCTGTCGTTCGTTTTCGTCTCTTTAAGTCATTCGAAAACTTTAAAAAGCTGCCTTCGAGCAGCTCAACTCGTGTCTGGCTGGAAATGTGCAATTCAGTTGCCAATTGGCTGCGTCTTTTAAAACAACTTGCTGCGGTTGCTGGTAAATCGAGACTGCAAACATAACGGTTTTACAACTTGGCAGGATTACGCAGCGAAAAAGAGGGGAAGACAACAAGCGAAATAAAGAGCCAAACAAGCCGAGCGTGAAATTTAATTTAATTACAAATTAATAACCATAATTTAAAAATGTGAGTGAAATTGAAGTTTGTATACAAAAGTGAAGCTGTTAAAAAATATAAATAAAAATAATGAATATAATTAAATTTAAACTAAAAGAATATATATATTTATATATACATAAACAAAGAAAATTAAATTTCTATGCATTTACTTCTGTTTTAAATAAATTAACTTTACCAAACTTTAAATATAAAAAAAAATAATAATACAAAACTGAAGAAAATTTGTAAAAATAATATTGCTAAAATATAAATAATTATAAACACATACGGGAATATATAGAAAAAAAATTAAGATAGTTTTTCTGCAACTTAAAATTCTATAAAAATATACTTTTACAAATATTGAAAAAAGAATAATACAACAAAATTAAAAATAATATTACTGAAATTAAAAATATATATAAATATAACAAAATAATATTACTGAAATTAAAAATATATATAAATATAACATATTTACTTTAAATATAAATATTTAGTTCAATATAATAGAAATATATACAATTCTAGTCAATTTAAAATATATGACATTGATTACATTTTTATTAATTGAATATTAAATATACTATTTTATTTTAAATGACAATTTCATAGTTCGCGAAAAAAAAACAACTGTTATTAAACCTTGTGAAATTCCCTGTCATCAATTATTCAAGTGCCGTTCACCAACTAAATTCCCAAAAAACGTTTGCTAACACTCAATAAAAATTCAAAATATTTACGTATGTCCGCCAAAAGCGAAATAGTTGCAAGCAGACAGCAATGATAGCAAACAACAACAACAGCAACAACAAATCCAACAAACAACAGCAACATACAAAAACAACATGCAGCAAATAACAACAAACATTACAGCTGAAGGCGCAATGCAAATGACCATAAACAATTTGACCTATCTCAACAAGAAAAACAACAACAGCAACAACAACAACAAGAAAAACATTGGCAAGCTCTAAAATAACCAAACTATAAAAGTTGACAGTGGCTCATTTCACATAATTCAATTTAACGGTCACGTTTTCCTAACAATGCCAAATAAATTAATAAAGCTAATGGCAACATTTTGCGGATTGCATTGTCATTGAAAATTCGGAAAGTTTTTATAGAAGCATAGGCACTATATAGGAAAGCGAATAATTAGATCAGATTCAGATAAGAATAAAGATACAGATACAACTACAGATGCAGATACAGATACAGATACGGATACCGATACCGATACAGATACAGATACAGATACAGATACAGATACAGATACAG